TTACAGCAGTCTGGCAACAGGACGAAAGTGGCCACGAAGCTAGAATCCCCGATGCGAAGTCTAGTGGTGCATTTAACCGTGGGTTTCATCAGCTGACCACCAGCACTCCTTATGTGCGGCCCTGTCCACGGTGTGTTGATCTTTCTAAGGTGGTCGGCGAGCTCTTGTCGCATGATTGAGAAGTCGGCGCCAGTGTCGACCAGTGCTGTAGCGTGATGACCGTCAATGAGAACGCTCAGATCGGCACGTACAACTTCATCGGCATTAGTATTCGTCGTCGTATTTGTCGTCGCAGTCGTCATACCTTGTTGCGATGATTGGGGGAACTTTTCAGTGTCTCAACGATTGGCAACCTTGCCCCCCGAGGTCGCATCAGTTAGTTTCCCTGGCGTGGGCTAGACAAACGGCCTCTGGTGACGTCCGCGTAGCTCTGAGGGAAGTAACGGTGACGCGCAGGTGATGGAGATCGCCAGCGACCCGGTGGGATTGCTTGGGCAGGCGATAGTTGATAGGCATCGTGGGCACGATGGTCTTCGGAGCGGAAAGAAGCGGGACGAGAAAAGTTCCTGTACCCGGAATCGCCATGACGGCAATGGTGGGCAATTTGACCTGGTTCTCCACAACGGAAGCAAATAGGTCGACGGTCGGCCATGCACCATAAGTCAGTTCGGCGAACTGGTGGTCGTCTCGTAGAATCCCATTGCCACCAAAGTACGGCATCGGGTCATGGCTGGAAGGGCGGCGCCACAAATGTCGGTGGAGGGCGACGAACCACATCAGCGTAGCTCACTGGATGTGGCTCAGGACTTGGCACGGGTGGTGTAATAGCTTGCCTCAACTCCTGGCGGACGATTTCGGCAACAGATGCGACTGGCGGTTGAGCAAGGGGAATGGAGAGGGCCCGAAGTTCCTCACGCAGTATTTTCTTAATGATTTGTTGCATGGAACTTTCGCATACGGCAGTGTTCTGAGCTGCAGCACTTACTGCCGTGTGATTCTGCAGGCGGTCAAAGTGTTGGCATCATTGTTGCAGTGCGCGCTCGATGACAGTCGCCTCTCTTATGAATTCATCTGCTGTGGTAGGTGGATTTCGTACGAGGCCAGCAAACACTAATTCTCTAACAATCTGCATTAGGTGACGCACCTTCTTCGCCTCGGGCATGTCAGGGTCAGCTCGTCGGAACAGACGGATTATACCCTCTGCGTACATGGCGGCTGTTTCATTGGGTTTTTGCACGCGGGCCTCAATCACTTGCTGTGCGCGATCCCGTTGGTCCGAGTTCAAAAATGTAGCCAGGAGCTTTCGACGGAAGCCTTCCCAAGATTGGAATGTAGCCTCGCGGTTCTTACACCAAGTGCAAGCGCTATCTTCTAGTGCGAAATATGCACGGCCAAGTTTGTGCTGTTCGCTCTAGTGGTTAGATACAGCGACCCGTTCAAACTGTTCGAGTCAGTCCTCGACATCCTCGTACTCTTCCCTACGGAAAACTTCAGGAACGCGAGGATGTTTTCAAGAGTTACCTTTGAGGGTAGAGTGGTCTGCAATGGCGGGATAATCGTGGATGTCGTAGGAGCTGCCTAGCTGGAACGATGTGGAACAGGAGTGTACTCAGGACTTAGGCCTAGTAGGCGCCGACTGAATCGGTGCACTGGAGTCATGACGAGGGGCTGAGTCTCCGGACTAGGCGAACGGGTCCGAGCAAGGCTGTCCTGCATCAGATTGTAGGCTCCAGCACCTTCACGAGTGTCAAGACGTCCAAACAGAAGTCTTGCCGCAGAGATTGAGACACCAGAAGCAAGTTGTTTCTTTGAATAGAACGCGCAAGATAGTTCTTCTTTTTAATCCATTTCCTTGTACTTCATGGCACATGCACAACTGCCATTGTCTTTCTTTTTGACAAGCAGGTGACATCAATACATCTGTTTTGGTAAAAGGTATAGCAGTGGAGGCAATAATAGACGCAGGTGCTAGTTTGTCAGTTATTTACCGTTAGTTGTGCATGCGTTTCCGCTAAGTTACTACGCCGTACGATGAATCTACGTTGTTCCCTGCTCAAGGGGACACCATTCAATGTTTCGCCCAGTGCACTGTTCGTGTCTATCTTGATAGAATTTTTCATTATATACAAATCGTGTTGCTTAGGCCGTGCGGCAAACAGCTCTTAATAGGATAGAATTTTTCGGTCCACAGCGTCCATCTTCATCTGATGCCGGCAACGCGTTCTTCCACATAAACGATACCGCCCACTCGCTTCACGCATATGACACACCACTTCGCCTTTTTTTGCTGCAAAAGACACTGAGCTACCTACGCACAGTCAGATCATTGCTTAAAGTTATATCTGATGTCATTGATCATCGCTATGTGCTCGTAAGCCATCTGAATGTTGTGTAACCAAAGGGATAGTCTTCGCATCAGGGCTCGTCCGTTTCGAAGCTGATTTGGATTTGTTTGTATAGCAAACCCAACGTGCGGAAAAATTTTCGTTCCGAAGGGCATAACGTTAGCTTGCGTCGCTACATCGGAGCTGCTCTCTGTGCTTACTCTTCAAGAGGCTTCTCCTTAAGATTCTTTGTGAAACAGTCGGCATGCATCTCCGTCATCAAAAGTACCATCAGTTCTCACCTGTCTTCTTCGCAGACACAGCAGCTGTTTGCCTTGCTGACCAAGCACGAATCTTCGTTTGACGTCTGTTCTCCTGTATTGGGACAGACGTGCGTTACAACCCATCGGATCGAGACCGACGGTTTGTTCATCGTTCTTCGTCGACCATATTGTGTATGTGTAGCCGAGCGGAACATTAATGAAAAAAAAAACGTGGGCGACATGTTGAGACGGAAGGTAATGAGCCCTTCTGCTAGTCCTTGGTCAACACCTGTCGTTTTAGTTCAAAAAAAGGTGGTTATGCTAGATTACCGGGCACTAAAGAAGATCACACGTAAGGCTGTATACCCTATGCAACGTATAGACGATGCCTTGGATTCGCTACAGGGGGCCCAGTACTTCCGGAGTCTCGATCTACGTTCTAGATAGTGGCAAATACCGATACATGAGGACGGTAAAGAAAAAACGGCGTTTTCAACACTAGATGGACTTTACGAGTTCAATGTAATGCCCTTCGGCCTCTGCAATGCGCCCGCAGCATTCCAGCGCTCGACCATTCGATCGTTCTGCGTGGCCTGAAGTGGAAGACTTGTCTGTGCGATATGGATGATATTGTTGTTTTCTCTTCAACCTTCTCTCAACACCTACACCGTTAAGACAAAGTGCTCACGTGTCGTGCTCGCGCTAGCCTTCAGCTGAACACGAAAAAGTGCCAGTTCGCAGGCAAGACAATTAATGCCACAGCGTGAGTGCGGACGGCATTCGTCCTGGTCCCGCTAAGGTTTCGGCCATTTATTTTCCTCGTCCTGAAAGGCTCGAAAACTTGCCCAATTTCCTTGGACCAGCTTCATACTTCCGCCTACTTATATGAGGCTTTGCCTCGAGAGCGGTGCCTTTGCACTAATTACTCGGTTTGGGTGCTTGCTTTGACCTGCCTTCCGACTGCGTATCAGCGTTTAGCCGTCTGAAAAACGCCATCACATTAGAACCAGTACTTCGCAATTTTGATGAAACGGCACCCACCCACCCGCATACTGACGCTAGCTGTCACCGCGTCGGTGGTATTATCTTGCAGCACAATGAGTCATCACTTGAAAGACTGGTTCTGTGTGCAAGCCACGTCTTGACGAATGTCGAAAAGAATTAGACCACCACGGAACAGGAGTGGCTAGCTGACGTGTGGTTGGTCTAGAAGCTTTGACCGTACCTACATGGCCGCCATTTTATCATTTGCTGCTGACCACCATGCCTTGTGTTGGCTTTCTACGCTCAAGAACTTTTGAGGACGCCTTCATCAATACATTATACGTCTTCAAGAATACGACTTCACTTTTATGTGCAAGTGCGGTAAGAAGCACCAGGACGCCGATGCGCTTTCTCGGCGGCAACTTCCTACGACACCGTCGACTGGTACCGCTTCTAACTTCAGCGGTGAACGCTCAAACGGTCTTTCGAGATATGTTTCGTTATCAGCCACCATTGTCAAGACACCTCATGAAGACCACGTTTTCATCGTGACGCCCCAACTTGATGAAACTTGCTGTAGACGCGTCATATTGAATTAGTCTGTCAATCTATTTTTGCTGAACACATGGAAATATGTTTCCTTCAGCATTGCTCACATGCCCGACGCGAAGCATCTTAACAACCAATTGGTCCAAATTGCGATATTTCACCCCGAATTTCGGTAGGAATTTCATTCTGCGCTGACAGCGCCAGTGTTACGTTCATAATTTGTCACCACATCACGATTATTTACCTCTACTTCTGGTAAACTTTTATTCTCCGCTAAGAGTAGCAGTGTTAGGTTCAGCATTTGCACTACATGCTGACCCGCAGGTCGCGGGATCAACTCCTGGCTGTGGCGGCTGTATTTCCTATGGAGGCGGAAATGTTGTAGGCACGTGTACTTAGATTTGTGTGCACGTTAAAGAACCCCAAGTGGTCGAAATTTTAGAAGCCTCCACTACGCGGATCTCTTAATCATATGGTGGTTTTAGGACATTAAACCGCACAAATCAATTAATCAATCAATGAAATAATTATCATTTTCACTACATTCACCAGGCGTCCTCGGTTCTTGATTGTACGTCTAGGTGCAGAAGAAAGACACCCTGTCAAAATGAAAAATACTTTTTGACAATTGAAAAACACTAGGGTAGCCCCGAATTGAATTATATTACCCAGTCTGAAAATGGTCACTATAACGTAAATCATGTGGTTACCTACAGCACATGCACCTAAAGTCCAAGTGCAAGTACAAAAAATTATTCCCGCATACCCATTCCCAAAAGCAGTGCATTGTTTTTCAACAAAAGTGATCACTACCACGTTTATTTGATATGACACCTATGTGCTCATACATTGCATATTACAGTCAATCTGGTCCACTCACCTTGTCGTTGTACCATGGTTTTTCAGCCAACATTGTGAAGAACGTAAGGGTGCCTTGAGACATGCCGATGTAGAGCAAGTCTTTTCGCTTTGTCTCCCTCAGAATGTAGTCGATGTTGGCTGGGACGTCAAAGATGGCGTGTTCGTGAAATCTGTGGACGTAGTGGTATTAAAAACAGAAACTTTCATACAATCATTGATGCTCTCTTTGCCCCACTTTTTATGCTGGAGTGGTGCTCTTCACTTACCATCGATATATATATATATATATATATATATATATATATATATATATATATATATATATATATATATATATATATATATATATATATATATATATATATATATATATATATAACCAGCCGTGAGCAGGGTCCTGCTCACGGCTGGTTATTTTTTCATCCACTTTTCTTTCTTCTTATTTACATTGCATTGGTTCTAATAACTTCCCTGTACATTACTTAACAACACTGTCTGTTAGATCTCATTAATATTGTGTTAAAACACGGAAAAACGAGCCCTTAGGTATACACTTCTTTCTCATATATATATATATATATTATATATATTATATATATATATATATATATATTATAATTATATATATATATATATATATATATATATATATATATATATATATATATATATATATATATATATATCAAAGTAGATGCCCTTTCACATAACAACTGTGTATTGTGCCGATCGACGGGAACCCCGTCGAAACGTCGGCACAATAAACAGTTATGTGAAATCGCGTGTAATTTGATATTTATAACCTTGCGGCAACCGAAGTTATTCTCCTGCTTTTAATTATATATATATATATATATATATATATATTAAGTTGGCATTCATTATACGCTTCTTATCATATATGCAATATCATAATAATCATCATCCGTCTGGGTCCTTGTCCTCATCTTCACAATCATCATCGAGTGGGTGCGCGCTCGGTCTCAGACTGCCCGTTTGCTGCTGAGCCCTTGGCTGAATAAAAGCTGTCTCAACCCAGCCGTCATACGTAGTGGAGGTGGATTTTCGGTCCTCGGTCCTCTCCCACCCCGCTCGACTCCCTGGAGCTGCGTTCAGGCCACCGATTGCCCCCCACCCTGTCTGGCAGCATGTTACAGAACGAGCCTGCACGCGCTGCTGCCATCACTGCTGCCATCTTTTTCCCGCCGTCTCCAGCCGCGCCTCCTGTTCACGTAAACAGCCACCAGCGTATATGCCACTTTCTTCGGCGGTTGTCGTGGGGAAGCACGTGGAAGACTGGTTGGATGAGTACAGCCGCGTGAGTGTTGCTAATCGCTGGGACGATAGCGCCAAGCTCTGTTATATCTCTTTCTACTTGACCGCTGTGGCGAAGACGTGGTACTTTAACCGCATTATCGATATACCCGACTGGGCGACCTTCGAGCAGCAGCTCCGTCACGTTTTCGGCACACCGGCCATTTGGTCCGCAGTCGCGAAGAGAACCCTGGACACTCGCCAACAACATTCCGGTGAGTCATACACGTCGTACATAGAGGACGTTCTTGCACTTTGCCGGGAGGCCAATTCATCTATGCCGGAGTCCGACAAAGTACGCCACATTTTCAAGGGTATAGGCCCTGTTGCTTTCAATGCCCTGGTTGCTCAGAACCCGGCTAGCATAGCCGACGTCGTTACGACATGTCAGCGCCTCGACACTCTGGACTCGGTTCGTCTACAGCCAGACATAGGCGAACAATCTAACAGACCTCTCCGTCACCTGATAAGAGACATGATACGTAAAGAGATGGAGAACATGGATTTCACACCTTTTCAACCGTATTCTTCACAGTTTACTAGAGCGGAATTACGCGACATTATCAGGGAAGAACTGACATCTCTGAACTCTCCGGCTTACCTCCAGTCACCCTCGTCTCGGCCCATACGAACCTACGCGCAGGTCGCTGCTATGCCTCCGAGAGAGGTAAACACAAAGTTGTAACTGCCATCGTAATCGTTGGTCGCTGCCGCTTCTACCCTCAATCTTCCTTCGATCCCGCCTGACCCTTCCTCTGCACACCTGACCGCACTCTCTTCAGGCACTCCGCATGGTTTCTACCCTTCCCCCTGACGCTCACCTTGCCCAGTTTGCTATTGCTGTGGGTATCGTGGCCACATTTCTCGTTTCCGCCGCAAGCGCCAGCAAGACGAGCGCCGCGGTTACGACATGCGTGAACGAGATACTTTTTACTATCAAGGTCAACGTCATTCATCACCTACACACTGGTCTCCCTCTCCGCCCGTAATTAGTGCACCTCGGAACAGCCGGAACTCCAGACGCCGTTCACCATTACCCTTTTGCCGCTCCTCCTCCCTACTTCGACCTGCCTCATTCGTCACTCCCAGTCATTCGAAAACTAAGTGATGCAGTGTCTTGGGGAACAACCGAATTCCGAATTAGGACTGATATTCCTCCGCGATGCCCGTGCAACACTATTTCGGTGGTAGTGAAAGGAGTGTACGCGGATGCTCTGGTGGACACGGGTGTGGCTTTTTCTGTTATCAGTGTTGATATAGACCAACGTCTGAAAAAAGTGATGACCCCTTACAATGGACCCAGGTATGTTGCTGCCCAGGGGTATGCCATTCGCCCTCCCGCTTTCTGTACAGCCCGCGTTTATGCATAGTATCCGACACCACATTCAGTTCGCCGTCCTGTCTGACTGCTCCCACCAATTACCTTTAGGGTGAGATTTTCTTTCTTCTGCCTCCGCGGCTATCTCCTGTGGCCAACGCGTCGTCCACCTCGCCGACACGGACTTCGCGCTCAACGACGACCCCCAGAGGCCACTTCGTTCGAAAGCTGCGGAAGATACCGAATTACCACCAGGTCAAGAGTGAATTGTAACTATTACCTCCAAGGACATCAACCATGGCGACGTCTTGGTCTCACCATCATTTAGTTGCGTCGGTAAAGGCATTGTTCTTGCTTCCGATGTAGTTCGGTTTCTCAATGGTTCCACACTAGTCATCGCTGTGAATACAACATTCGAAAAAATTCTACTTCCCCAGAACACCACGGTGACCTGCATGACAGATCCCGAGCCTGCGTGCGTCGCGCCACTTTATGCCGTCTCCTCCAACGACAGTCTTAGGCGTGAGCTTGCTTCTTCTTCAGCCTTTACTGCAGCCATTAGCGACGACTTGACACCTTAACAGACACAACAGTTACTTGCTTTGTTAAAGAAACACGCAAGTTCCTTCGGTGTTTACTCCTCGACGTTGGGCCGCACTACTACTTTAACGCATCGAATCCACACAGTCGGAACATCTGTTGTACGCCGCTGGCCCTACCGCGTGTCTCCTGCTGAGAGAAAAATCATCGAAGAAAACGTAGCTGACATGCTCAAAAAAGATAATTCGCCCTTCACTAAGCCCCTGGTTGTTGCCTGTGGTTCTGGTTCGTAAGAAGGATGGCTCCGTGCGCTTTTGCGTCGACTACAGGGCACTCAACGAGATCACTCGCAAGTATCTGTACCCAGTGCCTCGCATTGATGACGCCCTTGATTCTCTATAAGGCGCGAAATACGTTTCCGGCCTCGACCTGCGTTCCGGATACTGGCAAATTCCTATGCACGAAGAGGATAAAGAGAAAACGGCATTCGCAACCCCTGACGGGCTATTCGAATTCAACGTTATGCCTTTCAAGCTGTGCAACGCGCCCGCTACATTTGAGCGCATGATCGATACCGTGCTGCGCGGCCTTAAATGGAAGACATGTCTCTGCTACTTGGACGACATCGTCATTTTTTTGTCAACGTTTCCCCATCGCCTGCAACGTTTGGATGACGTTCAGACGTGCCTTGCCGCCGCTGGTTTCTAACTCAACACGAAAAAATGCCGTTTTGCCACAAAAGCTAACAAGGTTTTGAGCCACGTCATGAGCAAAGACAGAATTCGGCCGGATCCGGACAAAATAGCTGCGGTGCTTCGCTTTCCGCGCTCCAAAAGGCCGAAGGAGTTGCGAAGTTTTCTTGGTTTCGCCTCCTATTTTCGCATTTTTATACAAAACTTCGCGTCATTAGCGGCTCCACTGCACCAGCTTTTTGCTACCAACGTGCCCTTTCTGTGGTCGGAAGAATGACGAAACGACATTCGACCTGTTAAAGTGTGCCCTCACGTCCGCACCTGTACTCCGCCACTTTGATGAGGCCGCACAGACCATCCTACATACGGACGCTAGCGGCCGCGGTATAGGTGCCATTCTGCTCCAACGCGACACCTCCTCACAAATAGAGTAGTTGCATATGCCAGTTGAGTACTAACCGCGACCGAGAAGAACTGTACCGTAACTGAGCATGAGTGCTTGGCTGTGGTCTGGGCAGTGCAAAAGGTCCGTCCCTATCTCCGCTACTATCATTTTACGATCGTTACGCACCACCACGCCCTCTGCTGGCTTTCCACGTTGAAGAACTTGTCTGGACGCTTGGGTCGGTGGATTCTACGTTTACAGAAGTATGACTTCGATGTCATTTACAAGTCAGGTAGAAAACGCCAAACCGCCAACGCCCTTTCGCGCAGCCCGCTACCAAATACCGAGCTCAGCATCGTTCAAAGTTCAGCCATCACTTCTACTGCAGCGCCCGCGCTCACCTCAATAAACCAGCTATTATCGGACAACAAGCGCACACTTCACTCCTGCCAGTTGTCTGATCCATACTGTAGGTGTATAATGGATAAGCTCTCAGGAACTTGCCATCCACCTAATGCACGGCATCTTCGTCAACGCTTGCGATTTAAGCTGGAAAATGGTGTTCTGTATCGTCACATCTACCACCCTGATGCTCAACCCTGAGTTCCTGTGTTACCACACTCTCTTCGACTTGACGTGCTTAAAGCCTTCCACGATGACTTGACTGCTGGACATCTTCGTATCCGAAAACCTCACGGTCGCATTCGAGGTCACTTCTACTGGCCCGGTATTTCTACTAGCATCGTGCGCTACGTCGGTTTCTTTGTCCCGTGCCAGCGTCGTAAAATCCAGACAACTGCACCGGTCGGGCCTCTACAGTCATTTCCGTGCCCCACAATGCCATTTGATGTTGTAGGTTTCGACCTTTACAGCCCTCTTCCCATCACATCTACTAGCAAACGATGCATAGTGACCGACGTA